CCTTTCTATTTTAAAGCCCAAAGCAGTAATTTATCCGTGTTAGGAATGAAAACAAGACCTTGGAAGTTTTCAGATTTGGCCTGCAACGCACCATGATTACCTGCACTTTTCGAGCGCACGATTTTAAGAAGAAAAACTGTCTTTCTAGGACCCCTAAAGTCCTCTAAAAATATGCTCAGAAAGTCCATTCTGACTGATTTATTTGTCCTCAAGAACAATACAACAATAGGAGAACCAAAAAATCTTCAGCAAGGGTAGGAAAGGCAATTGTCCCCACGTGCTTTTTTTTCGGGCAGTTATGGGTGGCACAGGGAAATGGAGGAGTTTTTCGCACAGGCAGTTACAGACCGCACAGGCATCAATGGGCTAAAGTTGAGCAATAAGGGTAAAAATTATTTACCAAAAGTCTATTCATAGGACAGTAACATTTTGAATACTATTTGAAACATCTTACTGTAATTGAACTCTCTAAGTGACCCCACAATTAAATTCTCAAGCATTCTTTAGAAAGTTAATGCCCAAACTAAATGTAAACTTTATGTGCAAAGTATAGTTAACCACAAGAACTTATTATTACTGTCTATCGATATGTCTCAGCCACAGAGATGCTATTCTGTTATTGTATAAGTGCATTACGAACATGCCAAGGAACTTGATACCATAAACAATGGACACTACTAGCTATGTTGTCTTGGTATCCTTATCAACAATTAAGGCTCATGTCAATGGTATTAATCCTATCCATTACTATTGTGTGCTCATCTTACGTTATCAGTTTTACTATCTGTTGCATATCCGGTCTCAACAAACAGTACTCAGGAACATGTTATGCTACACCAGTCTTTGCACAAGCAGCACGCTAGGCACGTCAGCTATTTTTTCCTTGGCTAGTGTACAGTGTTTCCTCAAGATCCCTCAGCCTTGGCCACAGTCCCCTCACATCACTGCAAACGACTGGTGGACGGACTTCATTCCTGGTTGGAGGCCTGGAATATCTACCTTCAAACAGTCCTTCACCACTTCCCTCTCCTCGCCCCTGACCTCCTTGCACACCAGGACCAGATATGTAAGTTCAGCAGGAAATTTAGAGCATCCACATGGATTATGCATGATACTGCCTTCCGCTACATGGCTGCTTCCAACCCATCATTGTCTTGGGAAAAAATAAACAACCAACGCTACAATGACATCTTAAAAGAGGAAACGCTCCCTTCGGCATCACTTGTCACTCCTACAGCCATCGCACCATCAATTGCCCCCCTCGTTCCCAGGCCAACCAGTCCTTTCATCGCTCCCCAGCCCACGCTCCACCATTTACCACTAGTTCAACCTCCTCCCAACCCAGCACACCTAAGCCATCCATCACCATCCCGCAGGCCACCCTCTCAGTCCCTTCACCAAACCTCACCTGATGTGATTTCAACCCTTGTTTCTGCCATCGCGTCAACTGCCAATTTCTGCACATGTGCAGAGCCAAGGTTGCGGTGGAACCCATCCCAGTACCCAGTGCCGTAAAGGAGTCTAACAACGTGCCATCCAGTCTTCCCCACCTTTCTCCATCAACCCCTGTTTGCATCCCCAAC